GCTGCGGCTCCTTGGCACTTTGCCAAGTCCTTTAATTGCGCTCTCAAATACGAGTAAAACGCAATTTCCTGATGCGGATAACATTGGAGGTGCTACAAAATAAGAACAGAAGATGATGACAAGGGCCAGAACTCAAGAGCAACTCGGCTGCATCCGCAGAATCCATCAGAGGCCGCGCATTCCCAGAAAACATGAGAATAAAAACAATGGGCAGTTGTCGCGGCATTAATCCGCGACCTGGAAGATTCATCTACGATGGTGATACCATCTTTCACGTCTGTTGTAGTGATACAGTTTTTCTTGTTTGATATACGTTGCATTGTTGCTTGAAGTGGAGAACTGTCTGGTTCATTTATTGAAGTTGAAGATAAAGATAGTGTTATCGGCTCTGTGCTCGTATCACGACAGATAAGTCCCGCGTGGCAGCAACAAGTTATTACATGGTGCATCGAAGCCCAGTATACATCGAACCAAGGTCAGTTGAAGATTCTCGCAACTAGAATCTTTTACTACAAGTCAAGTTCAAGTGCAAACATTGAAATCCAGTGAGATTACTTTCGCAACAAATCTAGGCCTACAGGTGCTCAGTGAGAGTCACATAGCCTAGAATCCTTTACTTGTCACTACAAGTAAAGTGCAAACCATTGAAATCCAGTGAGGATACTAGGCCTACAAGTGCTCAGTGAGAGTCATTTGTAAGTCAAAATGGTTAGCGAACTAGCAACAGCTAAGGGCCTCATAACGCGCTTCTGCAATAAACTAGAGCAAGTTTTGGCCCGCTTCAAAGAGCAACAGCTCGATTCAGTGCAGGTTATCATTGAAGACCACTCCAGAAACGTCAACCTAGGCAATCTATGTCGCCTAGAAGGAGCGGTAGGAACAATCGAATCTATAAAGTGCCAAGTGGACAGGGCGCTGCGAGACTTGTCTCTGTTGGCGGAAAAGGGGGACCCAAGTGAAGTGGAGCAATATGTAGTTCGGGCAGAAGACGCCTTGGTTTCTGCTGTTGACTACGTTGCGCTCTTACAAGCTAATATAAGCGCGTTGAAATCCTTTGAAACATTCAGACCACTGCAGGCACCTCGAACAACTGCGCCCGTCAACGCACATAATCAAGAACACCAACAAGCCGAACTCCCACCGCTCCCTGTACCCAAATTCACGGGTGACATCTGGGACTTTGATAACTTTTGGGAGCTCTTCAATGTTAACGTTCACTCGAGGGGATTACCTGAGCTTTTCAAGTTCAACTATTTACTGAACGCCCTCGAAGGGGAGGCTAAGGAGTCCGTGAAGAAGTTCCAAGTTACCCCTGAAAACTACTCCCATGCAATCAAGTTCCTTCACGCACGGTACGGCAATCCAGAGGAATTGATCCAGAAACTCATCGACAAACTTGACCATTACAAGTTACGAAGTGAATCCCTCAAGGACCAACGCACACTCTTCGAACAGGTGCAAGTAACAGTCCTGCAACTAAAGCAAAAGGGGGAACACGTAGACAGTCAAGTCATGGTCAAGAAAGTGTTGAGCAAATTTCCTGCACATATCCAGAGGAGAGTGCTAGCGAAGAGACGTACACTTCCATCGACTACTTCATCCACAATGGAAACGCTGTTCAACATAATCGAAGACGTCTTGTCCGAGGAAGAAATGATGAACCTCTACGTCAAGGAACCAATGTCCACGTCACAGACAACATCCGCCAAAGAGTTCCGAAAACAGGAGAGTCTCTGCATGTACTGCGAAGGCGTACACAAGTCATCTCATTGCGATACATATAAGACCCCGAGAGAAAGAACAAAGTACTTACGAGACCGTCGTCTTTGTCAACTCTGCGCATCACCACAGCACAAGACATCTGAATGCAAACGTAAGAATTGTTTCCGATGCGGAGGACCTCACCATTCATCATGTTGCTTCAAGACCACGTCAACATCAAACAACACCCAAGAAGTGAAGGAACAAGTGGTGCAGGCGGTACGAACAGACAACAAGGTGAAGAAGCAAGTCAAGAAAACTCAGAAAGTCAACGTAGTAGCCGAAAAAGAGCAAGTGGAGGAAGGCGAATCACCCATTCTCGAAGTTCAAGCAGCGCAGGAAATCCAGCACTATTCGACGACAGTCCTTCCCATAGGAGAAGTCATGGTCATGGATAACAAGAGAGGCGATCACCGCAGGGTCCCGGTACTTCTAGACACAGGAGCAGAAATTTCGTTCATCGACAGAACACTTGCCGACGAGCTTGAGCTCGAAACAATCTCGGAAAAAACGCTCTTGCTGCACACGTTCGGTTCTGAAGAAATTCAAAAGAAGAAGTGCCGCATTGTACGCGTACAAGTTCAGGATGTCGAAGGAAGACCTCATGAACTGGAATTAACAACACATGAGATTCTGATCAAACCACTTCGCACTCCCCCACTGCTTCAAGAAGATACAGAGTTCCTGAAGTCATTGAACATTTCAATTCAGCATAAATGGAAGGAAAAGGCAGTGAAGCCACTGATACTTCTTGGCTGTGACCAAGTGTGGAAATTCTGGAAAACAGACGAGCCACCTGTTTCGCTTCCTTCAGGACTTCAATTCCTACCAACAAAAACGGGTAACCTCATAACAGGGAGGTACCACTCACATCAAGTTCTTGAAGTACAGTCCTCCAGCGAAGCTCATTAAATGGGACAAATATTGGTCATTAGACGTGCAGGTCAATACCGTCTGGGAAGAAGAACCTTCACCTCTACAGCAGCTTCTACAACAGCATGAAGAGGAAGTAAACGCACTGAAGGCAAGGATCGCAATGTTGGAGCAACAGATGGCCAAACCGGAACAGATGCCACACCAGGACGAGATCAAAGAAACGCCTTATCAGAGTGACATGGAAATGTCGGATGAAGATTACCTCCTGAGGCTGATTAAAGAGAACCAAGACGACGAAAACCCAGCCCAGAACGTTGACGAAGCAAGCAAGGACACGAGCAAGTCTTCGAAGGAGCACGAGAAGAGAGCCGATGAATACGAAGCAAAGAAGCAAGCGTTAGAAAAGATGGAAGAATGCTCTCAACTCCTTCCCCTACCGCCGATACACGCAGTACTCGGAAGGTGTCGAACCATGGCGCACCTGTATTTTCTGCGGTGCTCGAGCAGCGCACTATTCCGACTCTTGTCCAACGATTCGAAACGCGATAGACCGCGAACAAGTGGCATACACGCTCAAGCTGTGCAAGCTTTGCTTGGAAAACTGTGAAGAAGGCCGATGCAAAAAGGAAGGAGGGCCTGTTGGTACTGCAGCAAAATTGAAGGAACCCCGTTTGAAGATGTAATACCTCACGACAAGGGCCACCATCGAGCATTATGCCCCGTCCCGGACGCAAAGTGGAGGATCGAAGCCAGGGTGCAAGCAGCAGTTCGCGAATTACAGGAGATGGAAAGAAATCGACATTCAAGGCGGGGAATGTCGCGGCATTAATCCGCGACCTGGAAGATTCATCTACGATGGTGATACCATCTTTCACGTCTGTTGTAGTGATACAGTT